CAGCACATTCAAGAAACCAGAAGACCAGCTCCTGAGCACAAGGGGAGAGGGTATGTCAGATGAGGCTGGACAGGACGACAGGAGCTGAGCTACACAGGATTTGGGAGACCTGGTCAGGGGTTTTACTCATCCTAAGATCAGTGGAGGCCACTGAAGGGTTTCAAGCAGAAGCTGGCATGACTAGATATGGCTTTGAAAAGATCACTTTGGCTTCAGTTTGGAAGACAAATCAAAACCCCGTATACATCATCTAAAGCTTATTGTCTAAAAGCATGCCCACGTTATGTGTATGCTCATCTATTGTATGTGAAGAATCTGTCTAGTCTTTGTCCTAAGTCCCTTGGTTCTAAAACCCGTCCCATATGGTGACTATGCTTTGAATCCCTGTCCTGCCTGAAACATGCCAGGCACCTGCATGAGGGCCCAGGGTCCGACATGCCACAAGACTGGAGGAAGGGGATTGCCATGTGATCAGACCCTGTGGAGAGTGCTCATCTCTCTCTCTCCTGTGCATGCACAAACACTCTGTCACGAATAAAGAAAAATGTTTATTAATTAATAAATAAAATTAAACCCTTCAACTGTCCCAAGTGATAGAAGGTCTTCACTAACTAGATCACACCTGAGTTTATGCTGATGGGGAGACTCAGGGTGGGCTTCCCCAGAAAATCCAACCACGTGATTAGAAGGTCGAGACTGAGAAATCTTACATCAGCCCAGCCTGACCTCTGGGGAGATGAGGAGGCCTAGAAACTGAGCTCAATCATTGGGCCAATAATTTACTCACTCTGCCTATATAATCCCCATCAAATCTCTAGGCACCAACGCTTGGTCCAGCTTCCTAGATGGTGAATACATCTATGTGCTGGGAGGGTGATGGCACTTTGATTCCATGGGAGAGGACACAGAAGCTCCCTGTTCCAGATCTTTCCAGTCCTCACCTTATGAGGCTTTTATTTTGGCCACTTCTGATCTGTATCCTTTATAATAAAAAATAACCATAAAAATTTACTTTCCAGGGCCAGCAGGTGGTGTGGGGATTAAGACCCTGGACTCCCACATAGTCAACCACAATTCAAGTCCCGAACCTGGCAGCTTGCCTTTTCACTTTCTCTCTCTCTTACTTTTTCTGGTCAAATTAAAAAATAAGAATTATAATAATAAATAAAATTAAATAAATAATTCTTTTTTTAAAAGTGCTTTCCTAAGTTCTCTGAAGCATTCTAGTGAATTATGGAACTTGGGAGATTTGTGAGAACTCCCAAATTTGTAGCCATTTGCTCAGAAATGTGGGTGACTTAGGGACTTCCAAATTGTAGCTGGTGTCTAACATGAGGGAAGTCTTGTAGAGGACAAAACTTTAACTTACAGAGTCCACACTGACTCCAGATGGTTAGCACCAGAATTTAATTGCAGTACACCAGGTGGTGTCAGAACAGGTGGGGTTGAAATAGAATGTATGCTATATTTTGTTTTAGTCATTCTTGATTTATTTCAAATCCAAGAACCTTTTGTTTAAGGGAATTTTAAAAAAAAAAACTTGTTCCCAAATTAAGAAATGAGCAAATTTGTCCATATTTGAGACAAACCATTGGTTTGGGGAAGCTCAAAATTCAGAACCTGCTACCCAGAAGCCAGCCCCAGTGGATGCAGCACATTTATGCTTCCTTGTTATTGGCCCTAACATAACTTGGGGGTAACGTGTTATTCCCTCCATCAGCCTCTTGTCACTTGTTTCTCAGAAGTGTGGTTCTCCCTTGGCCTGAGAGTCTGTACCCTGTCATCTCAGACCATCCTACCACAAATTTCCTTCCCAATGACTGATGGGGACTCCATGCTTTGGTGACCTTAGAAACAAAAGTGCTACCTTCCAGACATTTCTAAAGCTAGCTGCCTATATAAGCAACATTTGCCAGCTCTAAAGTTCCTCTATTTTCATACCTCTGGACCAGCACCATCATTAGTTACCCCATTAACAAATTAATAGATCTTGAATTGATATCAATTTATCTAGGAAATTCTTAATATCTCCAAGGAATGATTAGAGCAAAAATTCAGGTTAGTAGTGAGGAGACTACCAAAACCAAGGGGAAAAATCACCTCTTACAGAATGCTGTCTTAATAAGGCCCATGTTAGTCCAGACAAAGTACAGTTTACATATTTAATATGCCTAAGCAAGGCACATTAATTAGCAAGATACTGGTAGTTATGATTAATGCAACATTTAGCAAGTTCTGTCATTAAAGGTCTCTAGATCTTTGTAATCATTGATATTATAAACTTGATTGTCAAAATTTTTTTACTGCAGAGGGAGTGTTCACTTTCCAGAGAGAAAGAAAGGGAGAAAGCACCCGCCAACCTTGTCACGCTACAGTTCTTTTTCCTCCACTTCTGTATCCTGTTAGGACTTGAAGTATACATGCACATGCAAGTGTGTGTGGGGGGGGGAGTGTTTAAGCTTTCGGGGGCCAGGATTCAATGTGCAGCCTAAAACCCATCCCGCGTGGTGACTATGCTTTGAATCCCTGTCCTGCCTGAAACATGCCAGGGATCCAGATCCCTATGCACTGTGTTTAACCACTTTGCTATGAGGTCAGCCCCCAGGGATTTTTTTAATTTTTATTTTATTATTATTATTTATACATTAGATCACTATACAACATTTGGCTTGCAAAGAGAATTTATCCAACAAGAAATACACTTCAGATCAGTCCAGTTGAGCATACCGTGTATCAATAAGCAATAAACATGTCCCATGAATGTCTCACCCCTCTATTTTCCACCTTATTTCCTTCCCTATACTCTTTTCCTCCCCTACCCTTCTTCCATACTGTCTATAGAGTCCATAACTATTTCCAATGCTTTTATGTCCTCCAATCTTTCAGTCTCTACCATAGAGTATGAACAGTCAGTATATATTAAGTGGATACATACAATATCTTTTTTTTATAGCCTGACTTGCTTCACTCAGCAATAACTCTTTCCTATTTGACTACCTTCTATCAAAAGCCAGGGTCTTGTTGTTTTTTATGACTGAATATATTCCATGGAGTGTATGTGCCATGTTTTTTCAATCCATTCATCTGTTCGTGGACATTTGAGTTGGTTCCATGTCTTAGCAATTGTGAATAATGCCGCGATAAACATTGATGTGCAAGCGCTTTTCCAACTAAGCATTCTCCTGTCCTTTTGGTAGATACCCAGGAGTGAAATTGCTGGATCATACAGTAGTTCTATTTGTAGGTCTTTGAGGAAACTCCATGTTGTTTTCCACAGTCAGCCCCCAAATTTTTATGACTTGAAGTAACTTCTCATTGTGAAATGATTCTCAATATTTCTCTTCTATGTTCTCTGCAGTAGTAATGCCTTTGGTTCCAGTAATAGTCTGTGAAATAACAATTGTCCATGAGGAAAATGCCCAGTTGTCCATCCTCTTAACCATAGATACACCTGGAAGAACTCAACAAACCAAAAAGCAATTCAATCTTTTTCCTACCCCTATGTAGCAAATACCATTTTACCACTTTCCCCTCCCTTTACCTCTTTGGTAAATGTGTTGGCTAACATTTTCCTCCTTGTTCTGGGGTACAGAGCTCTTGCTAACTCATGTTAGAGTCTCCCTCCTTCAATCTGATTCATCTCCTGGGTACACACCATTAGTCACTCTGTCATCTACCTAAGATTGGTTCTGTAAGAACCACATAGAACCATGAGGCAGAGAAATAGCTAGTGGACTCTACCTCCAGCTTCCTGAATTATTCCTCTTTTATTTTGTGCCCTTAAGACTAAGCTTAACTACGGCTCCAATTCATGGCCAATTTTACCAAAATTTCTAAGGTATCACTAAAAACATGTCTTTACTAAGTTCCTGAGTATAATGAATAGGACAATGGATAATATTCTCTATCACAGAGTACGGGAAAGAAAGTATATAGCATATAAAACACACACACAGAGTCTGGTGATATATTGGGTCGTCATAAAAGTCATGGTGTGTTTTTCTATTTAAAAATGTATCATGACCTTTCCAACAACCCAATAGTTCAGCTCTGTTTTTGCTTGTTTGTGGTTGATGATTCTGTACTTGCTCACATGTCATATTTAAAAAAAAAAAATCATTTTCCCTTTATGGACAGCATTCAAAGATACTTTAGGTAGCCGTTACCAGCATCAAGGGTGTCCTGACAAATTAGAAAACCAAAGTGCTTTAATAAGCATTTAGAATTTGAGTTTTTATCAAATAAATATTGTTTTAAATACAATTGACTCTTATAGTTACATAAATGTAGTCATATCAAACCTAGTAATAACACTTTTTGAGATGTTTTGTTATTATTTGGTCCCCAAAAATGGACCTGCTACAAAGCCAACTAAGATTTTTAAGTGTTATTTTCGTTCTCCCCCCAAAATAGAAAGGGGTGAGAAATAAAACCTTCTTGGTCACAGTGAGAATGCAGAGAAGTGTTCCACCTGTCTCTTTGCATGAAATTTCACCTCAAACATATATATAAAACTCTACTTAAAACAACCGCTATCATTAACCCAAACTTGATCAATACAGCCAGTAGAAGATGGACTCTCTTCAGGCCATTAGAGAGAAAATACACCTCCATTATTTGGGAGACCTGGGGAGAAAGAGATCTAAACTTTTTTTCTCTTGAAAATAATAAGAAAAGTAAACATTGGGCTTTTAGATTCTGTGAATGAAGCAATATCGCTATAATTTATTATACAAGATCTTCATAAAATTCTAATATACTGCTTTAAATTTAATTTTAGAACTTTGTTAAATCCGATGGTAGAAATAATTAAAACACATGCATTATGAGATGAAGCAGTAAATTTTCCTCCACTAGCTGAGACAGACTTCAGTGATGCTAGCAGCAACACAGAGTTTGCCTTCTCGTCGACAGAAATCAGTTGTTACTTCCCCAGGATTTGGAATAAGATCACACAGCTGTTTGTGTAGAGGGCTCGGGTGGACACTAACCTTCATCATTTAGGGCAAGATCAGCAGGGCTAGGTCCCTGCCCTCCCGGCTTCCCGTGGAAAGGCAGACGGCACCATAAGAAATGTGCAGCAGAAGGACCCCGCCCTTGGTATTCTGCCATTTAATGAAGTGTGTATAAAAGCAGCCTTTCATGGGGGAATAAACATTTTAATACAGACACTAAACTATCTCAAACTTAGGTGCCTATTGTTTAGGAGAATTCTAGCACTGATGTTGCATCTTTCAGAACTGAGAAACCTCGGGAGCCCTCAGTCTCAGAGGGTGATGAGTCTGCGAACTGGCTTGTTGCCAGGCAACTCAGAGAGAGGCCTTAAGGTCAGGATCATGCATCATAGTCCTGCTTGTCTCCACAACATAGAGCTGTCTACAGGTGCATATTTTAACATTTGATTTAAATAAATTCATTTATATGTGCCTTTCTTACATGCTCCCTCACACATGTAACCCAAAATATATCATGAAAACTGTTAACTTTTTTTTTTAACGTCAAAGCTGCAATTATTGGTCCCCTTAGAAATCAATCCTGGGATGGAGAATCCTTGCAGGCATCTCCATCACTGCCTCTGCTGCCTTTTTGGGTTCAGCTTCACGGCTGTGAAGCCCCCCAGCCAGAGTCTCCCCTTCCAGACCCCAGTGCTACTCAGGTAGGCAAAGTCTCTCTCTCCCTTGTTCTTTTCTGTCCCTTCTAACATATTTTTCCTCTTTTAAACAACAGCATTCTGTCACCTTGTGCCTTCCTCTTGCTAACTTGTCTCTTCTTCGCTCACCTAGAACAGAATCCTTCAGGCATCTCTATCTCTGCCTCTGCTGCCAGTTTCACGTGGTGCACAGGCGTGCTGCACAGTTTCCCATTTTTAACTAAATTTTATTTTCTGTGACATGTTTTCTGCTTTTCCTTGTTTTTCCTTTGCTTTATTTTTTCCTATTTCTGTTTCCTTCTTCTTTTTCATTTACCTTACTTTCTTTTTTTGCTGCTCAGCCCTTACCCACTGCCTAGAGAAGTCTAGTGCATAGTAGCTAAACATCTGAATATTGTGATATTTAGAGAATTTGTTGTCCCTCTGGTTGTAAAAAGAGTGAAACTCTCCTTCATAAATCCGATTTCAAAACTCCTCCTGTGATTCCCACACTGGAGGACACAGTAGAAGGAAGAAAATAACACCAAATTATTTCACAAGAAAGAGAAACATACAAGATCACAGTTACACAATCCTTCTCCAACAAATTAGCCAGAAGTGAATACATTACCAATGACTACAAATTGGAGAAGAGCCTCAAGGATGAGAGAATCCAGTAATACATCTTCTACAAGGGAACATTGTAACTCATCTCCAAGTAGGGAAAAATTAGAGGATATTACCAAAATGTCAGAAAAAGAATTTAGAATATTTATGGCAACAAAACATTATGAGATGCAAGAGAAAAAAGACATTGAGTTCCAAGAGATGAGGAAGTTCTTCCAGAATATGAAAAAATAATTGGACACCATAAAAAAGAACCAGACAGAACTTTTAGATTTGAAGGCTGTAATACAGGAAATTAAAACCTCCCTTGAAAGTTTAAAAAGCAGTTTAGATCATGCAGAAAATCAAATTTTGAGAGTAGAAGACAAAACCTCTGACCTAGAAAAAATTATCAAAATACTGAGAAAATAGCCAAGGAAACAGGATAATATACAAGAAACACTAGATACCATTAAATGCCCAAACATCCAAATAATTGGTATCCCAGGAGGTGAAAAAACTAATAAGGGCATTGATAATCTATTCCACGAAATTCTGGATGAAAACTTTCCAAGTCTAGAGAGGCACAGGACCAGCAGTTAGCATAATGGCTATGTCGCTGGACTCCCATGTAGTTGACTGCGGTTTGAGTCCCAGACCCCACAGCTTAAACTCATGCCGGGCACATGTGTGTGCATGCTCAAAATCCTAAGTGGAGAATGAAGGAGAAGGAATTGCATTATGGCCATTCCTTTTTGGGGGTTTGTTTCTCACTTTTGCTTTCTCTCTCTTCTCTCTCCTCTTGGCAAAAGCATGTGTCCTTTGTCAAAAACCTAAAAAATTGAATAATCATCACACTTGGGGAAAAAAAAGGATATACAAAAGTGTTGTAAAAATTCTGACTTTCTCCTCGTATCTTGTAAGTATGATATTAAGTTCATCATTATATGATGACTATAAGTGATATTAAGCTATATTTTAGATTCTTGTGAACCTTTATAAGGCACAGCAATCCAGGGACCAGCAGTTAGCATAATGGCTGTGTCATTGAACTCCCATGTAGTGGACCACGGTTTGAGTCCTGGTCCCAGAGACTTAAACTCACACCCGGTGTGTGTGCATGTGTGCCCAAGATCCCGAGAGGAGAATGGACGAGAAGAGATTGTGCCATAACCATCTCCCCTAGGGGGTGATTTCTCACTTTCTATCTCTCTGTCTCACTCTGTCTTTCTGGTGAGTGCACACACCCTATAGCAAAATCCTCTCAAGAAAAAAAAAAAAAGAAAAGAAAAGAAAAAAAAAGGCACAGCAATCTATAGACAAACAGAATTCTTTTGGGATTCTATAGTAAGGGCAGTGGTTAGACACAAGTTCTAGGAATTATTTGTTCTTTATTGTACATGCCGTGTACATTTACTCTGTGTTCATTCTGTGAGGCAGCTAGGATGTCAATTCCTAGGTTCCTCAATGGGGCTATTGTGAGGTGCCTGTCAATTTGGATTAAGGGAGAGAACATCTGTAAGGTAAATTATCACATTTATGCCCACAGTCTGAAAAAGTGACCCTCAAGTGAGGAATGGTTTAAATGCTGGAGTAAAATCAAGTACACATTGTTTTTAGCTGCAAATATGGGTGGGAGCAGATATCTACATTGTTTTCCTGTAGTTGAAGAGTGATCTTCCCTTTTAGCCAGACTACTTACTGGTGAAGAGTTTAGCGCCCTTACAATAAAATTGTAGCAGTTCAACTTGCTCATCTGATTGTCAAAATAGGTATATCTACTTTTAAATTAAACCACAGGATGTATATTCCACAAAATTTGATTTAGAATAAATACAGTGTTGAACCACTGGAAAACAAATTTACATTAAATGAAGAATTACATGTAAAGTGACACATATTTGCTAAAAAAAATCAGTAATGGAAACACAACAGCAATGATGCCAATATTTGATATTACTCTGGATCACTGACTGTTTGCCCAAGATACTTTAAGTGTTTTATTTATATTTACTTTTCCCCAACAGAACATACTATGAGGTGGACTACGACAATATGAGTCAGTGTGGTCATCTCTATGAACCTTCTAGTTAATTTTATATCATCAGTTGCCAAACTCTCACAAGAATGTCCTAAACGTCTCCTTTTTCCATAGTCTTACTCTTCTACAATTCCATGCAGTGACTACATCTTGAGATTGTATATTGGAAAAAAAAATTGATTCTATCTCTTTGTTTAACTCCTTTTACATTTTCTCAATTTCCTTTGTAGGTGTTTCAAAGCCCTAAGGTATCTGGTTCTAACCCAACATCCCAGCGTCTTGCGGCAAATTTCCTTAGTCTCTTTCTGTTAAACTAAACTCAGTGTCCTTGGAACTGTCCTTACTCTCTGTTTGCCTTTTTGTTGGTGGCTTCCTCTCGCCTTCATCCCTTCATCTATTCCTGTACATCATTCAAGTCTTACCTTAAATATCAATGAGTCTAAGATATATTCTCTGATTCCTGTTGGATGACTGCTTGGTTTTGTGTCTCTCCTCATGATGAAACATTTCACACAGTTATTACTAGCTTATACTCTATTCAGTAGTAAGTTAAGTGTGGAGCATGGAGAAAACTGTGTCTACTTTAATTCTCTGACTGCCTATCACTTATTTTTTGAGTGTGGTAGGTGATTTATAAACATTATTTGAATGATTCTTTCATATGTTTTGAATAAAAAAGGCCTTAATATAACAAACTATTCTCATGATCTCTACTGCATCCTGCTTTATTCCATAATGATAATGAAATGCAGATACAAGGGATGGTATACAAATATATGAGTTTTGGGACTAGTCCATAGGGTGATAGTTAAGGTGGTCGGTTCCCACATGGCTGAATGGGTGGGTGGAGTCCTGAAACACGGCTGGACATGTTTGTACATGCATGTCCAGAATCATGAAAGGAGGATAAGTAAAGGAGAAGTGTTGTGGTGTGACTGTTCTCCATGGGTGTGCTTTCTCATTTTCCAGCCTCTATTTCTATCTCTGCTACTCTCTAGCATATGTACATGTGTTCAGAAAAGTGAAAGAAAACAAAGAGAAGTGTATGAGTTTCTAATTGGTAGGCCAGTAAACCAGACTTCCCATATCTTTCTTACTGTGAGTCCAACCTGCTGAATGGAGAATGCAGAGTCATATTATTGAGAAGTGAGTCCAACCTGCTGAATGGAGAATGCAGAGTCATATCATTGAGAATACAAAGTAATCCAAATAAAACAAACGGAAATATATTTACCTTAGGCAGGGGTTTGGCAGGTTTGCAGTGGAGTCCTCCAACAAAATCAAAATTGGGTAAGAGTGGGCGAGGAAATTCAAGATCCCAGTAGGTTCGAATAAGCCATATGTCAGCTTTCCCCATGATCTCTGATAATGTAGTGGGTCTTCCTGAAGGGAGGAAAAACACTAAGTAGAGGAAATGAAAGGACCGTCATGTGGCTATACTAGCTATTTTTTTAATAATAGTGTTGGAATAAAGTAAGCAAAACATAAAAGTGGTTTATGTTTAGGGATCTGAAGATGATGTGTGGATAAGGTCCTAGACTCCCACATTGCCAACTATGATTTGAGTCCCAGATCTGGTGACTTGAAATCACACTAGGCACATGTGTATATGTATGCCCAAAACTCGAGAGCAAAATGGACAAGGTATTTCAGCATGGCCATCCCTATGGGTGGTGATTTCTCACTTTATCTCTCAACATCTCTCTCTGTCTATGGCCCATGCATGCGCCCTATGTCAAAAACCTTGAATAAAATTAGTTTGTGTTTTGATAAAACTAATATTCATACATACATACATTTGCATAATGTAATTTAAATGTTTTATAGATATTGTTCATACATATATGAATAAAGATGTCAGTAGGCTTTATTCTACAGTTACTTCAGTATATTCATAATCATGACTAACCCCCTTTTAAAAAGTTTTATTTAATTTTATTTATTAGTATCATTATTTCTTTTTCTTTCTTTCTTTCTTTCTTTTTTTTTTTTTTGAGAGGTTTTTGCTATAGGGCGCATGCACTTGCCAGACAGACAGAGAGAAACATAGAGACAGAAAGTGAGAAATCATCCCCCAGGGGGGATGGTCATGTTGCAGTCCCTTCTCCTCCATCCTCCTCTCGGGATCTTGGGCACGCATGCACACACGCCCGGCGTTAGTTTTAAGCCACCGGGTTCGGGATGCAAACCATGGTCGAGTATGTGGGAGTCCAGTGACATAGCCATTATGCTAAGTGCTGGTCCCAGTATCATTATTTCTTAATTTGCTATATGATACATGCACTCACCAGACAGAGACAAGGACAGAAAGATAGAGAAATTAAGATAGCAAACTGCCTTGTATATGAGACTTGAACCACAGTTGACCGTGTGGGAGTCCAGGTCCTTAACTACCATGCTACCTGCTGGTCTAATCATAAATGATACCTGTAAGTCAGTCAGTATGGGATTGAACAAGCACTTTCTTTTTTTCCTTACATAAAGAACTATTTGTTTAATTATATTTATTTTTATTATTTTTCAATTTGACAGAAAGAGAGGAAAAGTGAGAAAGCAAGCCTCCCGGTCTAGAACTTGATCCTCAGTCAGCCATGTGGGAATTTTGTGTCTCAACCACCATGACACCTGACTGCCCCAGCACTTGCCTTCTTTCTCAAAGTGGAAGATGATCATTAATTTAAAATAGGGATTTTTGTATATCCTTACTTTGGCTCATATATTCCTTTATTTTTGAAGAAGTTTTTGCTATAGGGTGCATGTACTCGCCAGAAAGACAGAGAGAGGCAGAAAGCGAGATATCACCCCCCAGGGGTGATGGACACACTGTAATCTCTTCTCCTCCTTTCTCCTCTTGGGATCTTGGGCATGCATGCATGCACACACACCCAGCATGAGTTTAAAATCCTCCAGGTCTGGGACTCTAACCGTGGTCAACTACATGGGAGTCCAGCGACATAGCCATCACACCAACGGTTGGTCCCCATACATTCCTTAATGTAGACACATAGGTAAAATATGTATATATAAAGAAAAATAACTTGGCTCTTAACACTTCACCAAGACTATCTTTAAAGAAGAAATTTCTTAAGTCTTTAGTAAAAGAGTTTAGAAACACTAAAAACCTTAAGTTATAGGTTTCTGTGGTTACTGGGGAAGAGCCATATATCTCTCAACAATGAAGAAATCCTTCTAGTGATATGAAAACTTTATTTATTTATTTTTTTAGAGACTTTTGTTATATGGCATGTGCACTCAATAGAGAGATAGAAAGACAGCAAGAAATCTCCCTCCAGGGTGGTTGGCCACATTGCATTATCTTCTCCTTCATTCTCCTCCTGCGATTCTGGACAGGTTCACACATGTGCATGACATAAGTTTTAAGCCACTGGGTCTGATACTTGAACCAAGGCAGACTATGTGAGAATCCAGTGGCATAACTATTACGCCATCTGTTGGTCCCTGGAAATATTTTTTCAAAGTTTATGTATTTTTAAGAATGTGACAGAGGACCTCCAACAGGATCCTCAGGCTGAAATCTATCCTCAGGCTCAGCCAAACAAATCACTGGCATGTCTGTGGAAGTTCAACATGTAGAAGAAGGTCCTGGAATATGAATCAGGGGCATTCCAATATGGGAACAGTTGTGATTTGGGCACTGTGCTAGGTAGGTTTGGAGAAATAAATATTTTAATTTCTAATAGGAAAATTGTAATACACAAAGAGAAACAATTGTCTCAATGCCTCACAGAGTTGTGCTAGAAATGTATAACTCTTCAATTAACATGTCTGTGTTCATCAAGATGTTTCTTGATGTGCATAATGACTTTTGTAGAAGTGAAAATTTATCAATTAAAATGGATATGTAATTATTTAAAAATATCCTGACTGCTTTAATTTTCAGTATAAGACACCCTGGAATGTTGGGTAGGTTAATGATCTCTGGGTTCTAACTGACCCTACACTGTCAACCTTCCCATAATATTTGTGAGATTGATAGATCACCTTATATTTTAATGTTATCATGTCACCTGAGGAAAACACTCTCCTCTGACTTTGAGTCTATTTAAGATTGTCTTTTAAAGCACAGAAAAGAACTGTCAGTGAAAAACATGACTTACCTAGTATTTCACTGTAAAACTGATCCCAATTCTTCTCATCAAGTGATTGGAACCAAAAGTCAAAATAAAGCACATATATCATATTTTTGACCCTCTCCATAAATGTCATTTGATCAGTTAATTCTGACATTACAACAGGTACATAGGAAGGAGGGAACGGAACAGCTCCACTGTACTTTTCCCATGTGCTGCCAAAAGAGAAGCGGAGACTGTACACAAAGGGTATTTTAAGAAGCTCAGCCAGCAGCTCCCCACAGGGACCAATAGGATCTGCAAGAATGACATCATATCTTGATTCCTGTAGTTTTGTCATAAGCTTAGTATTCAAAACTACTTCTTTACATAACTTTTGAATATGGCCAAAATAAGCCCAAAGGACTTCTTGCGCCTGTTTAAAATATTCGAAGAATGTATCTCTTGGAATGTCATATATCCATTTGTTTATCATTTGCATGAAAAGAATCTCAAAGTTATCTTTAGTTGTAGCTGTAGGATAAACTTCAAATTTAATAGTGGATTTTTCGTTGGGATTGACAAGAATGGAAGCTGAAGATGTCAGAACCGTCACCTCATGACCCCTCTGGGTAAGTTCATTCAGGATTATCTTCATATTAATCCAATGGCTGTATTCTGTCGGCCACACCAGCACCTTCCCAGAGCTCCCAAAGCTAAAGCAACAAGTCAGCTGAAGCAGCAGAAGGGTTGATGTCCATTTCATAGCCATCTTGGTGAAATACAATGCTTCTTTCTGTGTTGGTGTTCTGTCATTGCTTAAGCTTATATGCAAGGATAAATCAACCAGGTAGTTAAAATATAACTTTTAATCATTAAAGTAAATATATTATATAAAAAGTCTGAGCATGTGGTTAGAAAGTGAACAAATAAAAGGTTTGATGACCTCTCTTGTTTGTACAAGCATTTTAATATCTCTTGGTTATAAAGATTATCACTTAGCTAAGATTGGATGACTGTGTATGCAAGTCACCTGTCTTAAGTAGGATATTTGAGAAAAATGTTGACAACTCTAGTAAGACTCTTGTGTCTGTAGTGTTCTTGACATAGTAATGGAAATAAAATAATTATATAGTCGATCACCATTTCTTAGACATTGTGATTCAAAATTATTATTATTATTATTTTTAAATTTTATTTATTTATTTATTTTATTATTCATTTATTTCATTTTGGCCAGAGAGAAACAGAGAGAGAGAGAGGGAAAGTGAAAAAGCAAGCCACCAGGTCCAGGACTTGAACCGTGTTTGGAAATGTGGGAGTGCCCAGCACCTTAGCCACCATGCCACCTGCTAATCCCTTGAAATTATTTTTTTGAGTAAAAACCTTAACATATAAGTTAGTCACCATGTAATTAACAAATTTTAAATGTACAATTTAATGTTTTGTATTATATCTGCAGAATCATAACGTCACTGCAATAATCAATTTTAGAAATTTTCATCTCCCAAAAGAAATATAATATTTTCCCATTTAGCCTTCAACTACACCTCAGTCAATTTCTACACTTTAAATTTAGGCACTTAAAAAACTTTTTAGCCTTTCTTTCTAGAGACATATGTTGGTAGATGTTTTAAGTGGGCTGTCTTGCCTGGTTTCCTTCAGCCTTCCCATCAGTACATGAAAACAGGATTGTGAAAGGTGAAGCACTACACAGGTACATCAGCTGTAGGTAAACACTTGCTGCCTTGGAGTTCTGTGTATTCTTCCAGACTGTTTATTTTATATCTGTTCAAGTTACTTATATTACATTTTATTATGAATAAAAGTGTTATTTAATTTTATCTTCTAAAACTCTTTTTTAAAAGGTTTTTGCCATAGGGTGTGTATACTCAACAGAGAGAGACAGAGAGAGAGAAAGTGAGAAATGCCCCCCACACGGGAGAGGACCACAGTGAAATCCCTTCTTCATTCTTCTTTTGGAATTTGGGCATGCAGGCACCACTCAGCATGATTTTCTAACTGCTGGGTCCAGGATAGGACTGTTTTTGGCATCACGAAAATATAATGCCTTAACCACATACTGGCCCCCTTATTTATTTATTTATTTATTTATTTTTTTAGCTAGCTGAAATGGAGTGATTTCAGTGAAATTGCTTGTTTTCTATCTTTTCTTTGTAATAGCCCAACCTTTTACCTTCCCTCAGAGGTAGATGCATTCATTGACTGATAGTCATGTAAATGCTGGAGAGAATATCATGCATACATGTGTTCATTTGTACCTATCTGCATGATAGATTTTTAGATGCAGAATTGTATAGTCAAACAGGTTGATATTTTGTTTTTGGTTTTAAAATTTTTGCCATATGGAGACCAGCAGATGGCATAATTGTTATGTTGCTGGACTTCCATGTAGTAGACCATGGTTCGAGTCCCCAACCTGGTAGCTAGAACTCATGCCAGGTACGAGTGTGTGCATGCCCAAAATCTTGGGAACAGAATGAAGAATGACCATCTCCCCTGTGCTGTGATTTCTCACTCCCTGATGTGTAGCTTAGAAAGGGCCTTTGGAAACCATGTTGTTTGATTTATATCTTTCCTATAAAATTTTAGTAATATCTGTATTCTTTGCATTACTACTGACTATAAAAGGTCTTAATATGCCTATGTTTCAAAGAAAATGATGAATGCATTGTTTTCAATCATGAAAAGGATTTAATGTTTCCATATTAGTGTTCTGGAAGAGATAGGGCAATTAGCACCTAAGGAAAGAGGGAAAGACTTAACATGCTCTTCCAATATAGTTATAAAGAATAATAATAATTACTGCAAACTGTCTTTCATTAACTTACTAAATTTCACCACATGTCTGTAAGGTAGCTGTGATACTATGTCGTCTTTGAAAGCAGTGGACATAGATTCGCCAATGTACATTAGGAAAGGATTAAAATTTGACAAGTTTTTTTAGAACATAGTTCTGTGTTTTTTTGCCATTTATCTTTTTTTTTATTATTCATACATTAAATAGCTATACATCATTTAGATTGTGAAGAGACTTTACCCAGCATGATATACACCTCAGTCTAGCCCAGTTGAGACCACCACCCACATCCTCGTCAACAGAATAAACCTTATCTGTGTCCCACCAGTGTCTTACCTCTCCATTCCCCTCCAAACATTTGTTTTTTTGCCATTTATCTTTTTTTTTATTATTCATACATTAAATAGCTATACATCATTTAGATTGTGAAGAGACTTTACCCAGCATGATATACACCTCAGTCTAGCCCAGTTGAGACCACCACCCACATCCTCGTCAACAGAATAAACCTTATCTGTGTCCCACCAGTGTCTTACCTCTCCATTCCCCTCCAAACATTTTTTCCTATGCTCTTCCCCTCCCACACTTTCTTTCCACTTTGTCTCGAGTGTCCATTACAATTTTTAATACTTTTATGTTCTCTAGTCTTTGAGTCTCTACCAGAGTGTGGACAGTTGGTATATGTTAAGTGGAGCCATACAATGTCTCTCCTTCATAGCCTGACTTGCATCACTCAGCAACAAATCTTCCATATTTGTCCACTTTCTATCAAATTCCAGTGACTTGTTTTTTTTTTGTGGCTGAATAGTATTCCATGGAGTATATGTGCCACAATTTTTCAATCCATTCATCTGTTTGTGGACATTTGGGTTGGTTCCATGTCTTTGCAATCATGAATAATGCTGCAATGAAATTAATTGTGCAAAAGCTTGTCTGACTGAGTGTTCTTCTGTCCTTTGGGTATATACCCAGGAGTGGAATTGCTGGATCAAATAGTAATTCTATTAGAAGGTCTTTGAGGAGCCTCCATGTTGTCCTCCATAGTGGCTGGATCAATTTTCATTCCCACCAACAGTGTAGGAGTGTCCCTCTTTCACCACATCCTCTCCAGCACTTACCTATTTTTTTTATCTTCACCATTCTAACTGGGGTTAGGTAGCATCTCATTGTGGTTTTCATCTACATCTCCCTTACAATCAGGGATGTTGAACATTTTTTCATATGCTTTTTGACTGTTTGTATGTCTTCCTTAGAGAGTTGTTTATTTAGCTCATTTTCCCATCTTTTAACTGGGTTAGATTTTTTTCTTCCAGGTAAGTCGCTTGAGTTCCCTCTGTGTTCTGGTTATCAGTTCCTTATCTGAGGCACAGTTAAAAAAAATTCTCTCCCATTCTGAGGATTGTTCACAATAATTACAGTATCTTTTGCTGTGCAGAAACTCCTTAATCTGATGTAATCCTGTCTATTTGGGGGATTATGGCCTGTGCTTTGGGGATCTTGCTTAAGAAGTCTTTGCCTACCCCAATGTCTCCCAGAGTTTCCCTAGTGTTTTCCACCAGTAGTTTTTATAGTTTGCTGTCTTAGGTTTAGATCTTTGATCCATTTTGAGTTGATTTTTTGTTAATGGTGGCACACAGGGGTTCAGATTCATCTTTCTGCAGGTGGATATCCAGTTTTTCCAACACCATTTGCTGAAGAGGTTTCCCTTTTCTCACTGGATTGACTGGCACTCTTTGTCAAAGATGAGTTGGAAGTATGTTTGGGAGTTTCTGAAGTATTACAACCTGACAAAAAGCCCATAGATTTATCATCAAAGCTTAATAAGTTAGAGCAACCAATTATGAATTGCTTATTAGTCACTTTAATGATTAAAAGAAGAGAACTAATCCATGAACCAAAGAGTTCCCTACCTAGTTTAATTTTATATTACAAAGCAGTGAGAAGTCACTACCTTAGTAATTCCAAATATTGTTCCACTGAAAAATGACTGAGCCTGAAGAATGTAAATATCTTGTCGCTTAGAAAAGACAATGTTAAAGCTGGATATACAATAATGGCCAAGTAGTATCCCCAGAACAAACAGAAGAATGGATCAGTGTACACGATTCTCATTTTTGAATCGTTTCTACAGAAAATGTTAAAACTGGAAGAGTTTGCACTAAATGGATTTTAAACTATTCTGAATATTCAAGAACCTTATTAAGAATACATGTTGATTTCTTAACATTTCTGTGTCTGTTTATGTTTTTTTCACATAAAAATTTTTTAGTTTATTAATCCTCTCATGAAAAATCCGCACAATCACCGCAGATAGTCATTGCAGAATCTTTACTCCTTCGACTTTTTGCCAGCACCAACATTGACCTTTGTAGTCCCCCTGACTTTCTTCATTCTGTTCTTGCATTCCTTTTGCTGTTTTCTTGACGTCTTTTTCTTCTCATAAAGGCCATGTCTTGCAAGTCTATGTTTGGGTTCATTTTTCTTCGCATAATCCAAAGAATTGTAAATCATGCCAAAGCCAGTTGTCTTGCCACCACCAAAATGGGTTCTGAACCCAAACACAAAGATGACATCTGGTGTGGTCTTGTACATCTTTGCTAGTTTTTCCCGAATTTCTGCCTTAGGTACTGTTGCTTTCCCAGGGTGAAGGACATCAATGACCATTTGTTTCCTCTGAAGTAGTCAGTTGGTCATGAATTTCCTGGTTCGGATAGTTACTGTGTCATTCATGATGGCGGTTTATCTGTCTGTTTATGTTTGATCATGATGAACCTTAGTTAAAAATTTTATCATTTAACACATGGATTACAATGATTAATCCCCTCACATAATTTTATTTTATCTTTGTCTAGGTGTCTCTTTCTCTTGGGATGAAATGTTCATATTTCTTAAAGATACTGGACTCTTCGAAAATAATTTGGATTTACAAAATAAATAGCGAAAGATTAAGTTGGCTGAGTCTCATCTTTCATGCACAGTAACTTCATGTCT